CAAATACTTTTCTCTTCATGTGCTTCCAGAAGCTTGTACAGTCAGTTTTTATGTTCCCCATAATTTTATGCTCATTCATGTTTTGCTGCTTTTGAACAAAACTTTTGTCCTTGTTTTCCAAACTCTAAATTTAATTGCACAAATTAATTCACACACATACATTCACAAGCACACACTCTCTTTTTATACATTCATGAGATATGGGCATCACTGGCTGGACCAGCATTTATTGCTTGTCCATAATTGCCCACACGTGATTAAGCGTCAACCATTTTGGGGTGGGTCTGGAGTCACATGTAGACCAGACCAAGTAAAGATAGCAGATTCCTTCCCTGAAGGACATAGTGAACCAAATGGGCTTTTCCTGATAATTGACGATGATTTCCATTAGATCAGCTTCTTTTTTGTGAAATACAGCTTTGCTTTTAAAAAAAAATTCAAACTTTAACCATCTGCTGTGGTGAGATCCAAAACTCAGACTGAGGTTCTGACTCCATTGTCGACTGACTGAGCAAATTGACTGACTGTCTGAGTGACACACAAACACACACAAACTCTCATCCACACCGCGCACGCTCTCTGACTCTCTCACACTCACAGTCTGGCTCACATTCTCTCTCTCTCCCTCATGCTCTCTCTTTGCCACACACTCTCTCGCGTGCCCTCACAATCTCTTTGTCCCCACACAGCTTCTCTCTCACATACATACACACATAAACATTTCCATACTTGTGCACTGATAAGAAACATGTATTTCCGTGTGTCTGCATTTACATGTCAAGTTGTGTCACACACACCATGTTTACAAAATTCATTGATCATTGCAGCGTTTGACAAAATTCATTTCCTTTTCAGAAATACATCAGATTCAAGTGACTGAACAGAACATAGCGACTGGCCCCTGAGGGATTTCCCCAGTATCTCTTTATCCCGTTCACTGACACTCTCCAAGAGATCGAAACCATTCGGAATCAATGAGAAACTTGGCAAAGGAAAGCAGAGGGGCTTTCCACAGACATAATTCTCTCAAGCAATCTCTATCTTTTTAGCACATTCTCTCTCACACACATTCTCTCTCATAGTCTCTCTCTGGTCTCTCACACATGCATGAAATAGGTGTGAGACAGTGTGTGAGAGAGTGTGAGCGAGATAGTGTATGAAAGAGAGTATATGGAAGAGAGAGTGTAAAAGAGAGTGTGTGTGAGAGACAGAGTGTATGGAAGAGACAGTGTATGTAGGAGAGACAGAATCAGAGTATATGAGACAGTATGTGAGAGAGAGGGTCAGCGATACTGTGAGAGAGAGAGAGTGTGTGAGAGCGTGAGAGAGAGACAGCGCATGCGAGAGAGAGAGAGACAGAGCGTGCGAGAGAGAGAGAGAGAGACAGAGCGTGCTAGAGAGTCAGAGAGAGGCAAAGATGAAGTGTGACTGAGAGACTGCATTTGTTAAACAGTCTGGGAAATGCCAGCACACATATGCAATGCTATCTGTCCACAGTCTGGATGGGAGTGTGTCTGTTCACATTCTGGTTGTGCACTGAGCTGAGGGCATGAGGAGAGTGACGGATTTATCCCTTGCGGCCACTCGGAAATGGTGATAAAAGCTGGACGTACGTACCGAGCAGCAGGAGAGTGGTGACGATCTCCATCGCTGTGCCCTGTCCATTTGGGGCGTGCATTCAGTCAGTGACTCAGTCTGCTGTTTCCTGCTTCTCTGATCCTAATGGTGGCAGGGGAGTACAGCCAGAGAGTCTGAGAGAGATCAAGGTGGGACACAATGGTCAGTCACTGGTGCCCTTCTGCCCCAATCGCCCTCCATTCCCCTTCCTAATTCAAAATCTCAGCCTTCAATAGACTCGACGACCCAGCCTAGACGGTAAAAAAATTCAACAGATCGACTCTGCTCGGAGAGAAGAAGTTCCTCCTCATCTCCGTCTTCAATGGGTGACCTCCCTTATTCTGCGATGATGCTTCTCTGGTCCCAGACACTCCCACATAAGGGGAAACAACATCTCTCCGCATCTCCCCTGTTAAGTCCCTCTAAGAATCTTCAATAAGGTCACCTAAACTTCAGCAGGGACAGGGGCCTGACCTACTCAACCTCTCCCTCATCAGACTGTCCCTCCGTATCTGGGATCAGCTGAGTAAATGTTCTCTGGATCTGTCTTTTAAAGCAACAATGACATCTCCAACCTTTCTCAACTCGTTCATACTGAGCAGTCCCCCTGAAATCAATCCAGATATTGCCCTTCTGTTTCTCTCACTGTCCTTCTTAACAAATCCTCTCTCTCTTACCTGAGATCAGAGAAAAGGACGTTTGCGAGTTGGGAGTGTGATAGCACTGTGGCTTTAAGAGTGATGTGTTATGTGCAGGGAGCTGTTACCACAGTGGCGCTAAAATGTCTCATTCAGACAGGCAATTGGTAAACGGCTTTTGAGTTCTCCCTCGGTGTTCTGTTGAAACAAAAGACAAAACAATCATGAGTTGGCAGGGTCAGGTTTCCACAGACCCAGGATGTTTTTTTTAGTTAGTTGAAGATTTCTGCTGGCTGGCTGCTGAGCTAAAAGCTGGAGTTCTCTGCTGTTCGAGTGAAATCTTAGACAGCGAGGCTCCCTCTTAAAAATCAAAACGGGAAGATTGTTCCTTTCTTCTGGACTGCAGAGAGGCAGCATGTGAGAATCATAACTGAGAATCATTACTGAATTGCATTTTTGCCAAAGAGTGTATGTATGGGATTCTGTCTATATTGGAACAGTTGCTGATTAGTGGTTAAATATTTCAATAGAGTAAAGTTATACAAATTCTCCTTTCTGTTACATTTTAATAGTGCTATCAGAATAAAGTGTGTTTCACTCATGTTTACGAGTGGACCAATCAAATCAGAGAGTCTTAAAGCACAGAAACAGACACTTCGGCCCAACTCTTCTGTGCTGACCCTGTTTCCCAAACCAAACTAGTCCCATTTGCGTGCATTTGGCCTATATCCCTCCAAACCTATCCTATCCATATACCTGTCTGAATGTCTTTTATATATTGTAACTGTTTTGGAGTAGATTTGTAGCTCGGGTTGTGGGTGTTGTGGTTGGTTGGCTCGCTGAGCTGGTTCATTGTTCCGCAGATGTTTCATTACCCTGCTGGGTAACATCATCAGTGCAGCTTCTGATGAAGTGATATGATAATACTCACTCATCTCTATCCACATGGATAAGGAGAACCACCAATTCAACTGGGACAATGCCAAAATCCTGGGACAAGCGAAGCAAAGACAGGCACAGGAATTCCGAGAAGCCTGGTACTCCACAAAGAAAGCTATCAACAAACACATACAGCTCAACCCCATTTACATTCCATTGCAAAGAAAAGCTGGAAGTGAGGTAATCCAGCCGGGCGGACACCAGAGTTTAAATAACAGGTGGGAAAACATAACAGCGCTTCATCAGAGACTACACTGATGATGTTACCCAGCAGGGTAATGAAACGTCTGCGGAACAACAAACCAGCTCGTGAGCCAACCAACCACAACATTGTAACTGTACCCACCTCTATCACTTCCTCTGCTAGCTTGTTCCATATACGCACTACCTTCTGTGTGAAAACGTTGCCTCTCGGGTCCCTTTTAAATCTTTTCCCTCTCACATTAAACCTCTGCCCTCCAGTTTTGAACTTCCAACCATGGGGAAAAAAAAAGATTTTGGCTATTTATCTTATTTGTGCCCCTCATGATTTTGTAAACCTCTAACACCACCCTTCATCCTCTGACACTCCAGGGAAAGTAGCCCCAGTCTATCCAGCCTCTCCTTATAACTCAGATTCCCCAGTCCCAATAACAGCCTTGTAAATCTTTTCTGCACCCATTCCAGTTTAATAACATCCTTTCTATAGCAGGGCAACCAGAATTGTATGCAGTACTCCAAATGTGGCCTCACCAATGTCCTGTACAACTGTAATATGACATCCCTACCCATCTACTAAATGCACAGACTGATGAAGGCAAGCGTATCTGGAACATAGCACCTTACACTCTAATTTTTTATATATTTTTTTAAAAATTCGAGTCTGACTATTTCTAATAATATACTTTGGGGGATGTGGTCTGGTCGATAACAGAAGAATAGCTCAGAGCTCTGTGAATCATTAAAGAGAATGGGGAAGTGGACTTCGTCAGGAAGTAACGATGGTCCGGTGGTTGTGGGGTAGGGGGGAGCGTGCGATGCTGGTGGGGAAGCAGGTGTTAACAGAAATTCTGGAAGGTAGGTACCATAGACTTTCCCTTCCTTAATCAGCATGTTCATTTGATTCAAACAGCAGTGAAGGTGGACATGGAGAGATTGGGGAATTGGTTCTGCCGGGGCTCCATATCCGCCCCCATTCTCTCCCTTTCTCCTCTGTTGAGATGGGAGGACGCCAATATTGAACGTTCCCAAAAGTCAATAGGAGGTTAAGTAGTGCTCCAATCCCCTACCCCTGAGGAGAGGACTGTCAACTCTCTGATACCAGCGTGTTCTGTTTTGTGAAATGGCCCAGGAGTCCCAGTCATGGAGGCCCAGATATGTCATAGGAACAGGAGAAGGTTGTTCGGTCCTTTGCACCCATTCTCGGCCCCAGGGCTCAATTATCTAATGGCCCCAACCACGAGATCCCTGCATGGCACACTCCTATCTGACTCCCCGTCTGACCGCCCTTCTCAAATTGAAACAGCCTCTGCCACACATTTCCAGGCAGTGCATTACAGACTCCTTGCTCGGTAGAAACATTTCTTCCTCACTTCACCCCAACTTGCTCCATTTGTAGCTCACTTTAAATCTACACCTTCCTCCTCCACCACATTCCTGTTTCTTTTACGAGCTGGATCAGCTTCGATATCAACCCCCTACCCCCACCCCATCCGCTCTGCCCAGCTCCAGTTTTCAGGGCGAAATGGGATCGAAGCCACTCTTCCTCATCTCGATTATCAATCTGCCCACCACTTTCTCCTGAAACAATGACCTCTTGTTCTAGATTGTCCTGCATGAGGAAACATCCACAAAATACTGTTTTATACCCTTGGCAATCACAAATTGCATTTAGTGGCAGGACACTAGGGAGCTCAGAGGAATCTTGGGGTGTTTCTCTGCAGATCCCTGAAGGTGGCAGGACAGATTAATAGAACAGTTAAGAAGGCATACAGGACACTTGCCTTTATTCTTTTTAATTCATTCATGGGATGAGGGTGTCGCTGACTATGCAGCATTTATTGCCCACCCTACTTGGCCAAATTACTGTGGGTCACATGGAGGCCAGGCCAGGTAAGGATGGCATTTTCCTGCCCTGAGGGACATTAGTGAACCAGATGGATTTTTCCATAATGGATTCACAGTCATCATTAGACTTGTAATTCCAGATATTTTTATCTGCGCCAGCAGGATTTGAACCAGGGTTTCCAGGCATTATCTAGGGCTCTGTATTGACTGTTGAGTGATAATATCAGTAGGCCATCACTTCCTCAGTTGAGGTATAGATTATAAGAGCGGAAAAGTGATGTTAGAGGTTTACAGGACACAGCTGGAACACTCTGTGCAGTCCGGTCTCTGCGCTATAGTAAGAGTGTGTTTGTTCTGAAGGGGGTGCAGAGGAGATTCCCCAGGACGTTGCCTAGCACGGAGCATTTCAGTGATGAAGAGAGTCTGGATAAGCTCCGGATGTTTTCTTTCGAGCAAAGAAGGCTGAGCGGGGTCCTGATCGATGTGTAAGATTATGAGGGACATGGACAGGGGGAATAGGAAGCAACTATTCCGCTTAGTCGAAGAGTTAATAACAAGAGTGAAATAACTCCACAGAGGCTGGTATCCCATCAATAAGTCACCCTTCATCCACACATAGAAAGTCCTTGACACTGAGCCAGCTCCCTCAAAGCCAGCTCGCAGATTGAACAGAACCCCCGCCATTCCTGTTTATAGGGGTCCCTGATTGGACCAGGATAACAGCCCTCATCTGGGAATTCATACTCTATGAGGTCCACCTTCAATTTAAAAACCCTTGGATGACCTTGGTGGAATTCAGCCGTAAATGGCAGTGACCTTTGCTCAGGACAATCACTCTTGCTCCCCATAATAATATTGCCATCCTGTACTGTGATCTGGTCTCGCCAGTCCCAAAAAGGTTTTAATTCTGGTTGTGATTGCCCTCTGGCTTCCCCCATCACCAGCAGCTGGTCTGGTTTTGCCAGGACTGGATCTTTCTGAAAACAAAGTCTGATCTTTTCAGCTGTGACTAGAAGTGTGTTCAGAAAATTTAAAGCCATTATGGACACCTCCAGTGATGGCACTTTCAGCAGCGTATCTTCCAGTGGGAGGTTACTCACTGCATCCGCATTTGCTACTTAGCTGGCCAGATGGTTTTCCAATTTAAGATTATATGCACTTAGCATTAGAGCCCACCACTAAATTCAGCCTGAAGCCATGGGTGGCACGCCCCTGTCCTCTTTAAATAGCCCTAGCAGGGGTTTGTGGTCCATTACTATTACACATTTACATCTGTAAAGGTATTGGTGAAATTTTCTCACACCAAAGATGAGCACCAAACTGTCATTCTCTATCTGGGCATATCTTCACTTGGCATCAGCCAAAGTTCGGGACGCATGCACTATCGGGTATTTCTCTCTGCTGGGCCACCGAAGAGCCAACAGTACCCGAATACTGTACAGGGAGGCATCGCATGTCAGTACCACATCTTGCCTGAGATCATGGTGTGCCAACACTTCAGACAATTATAGCTGATTTTTCACTTCCTACAAGACTATGTCTTCACTATGAGACCATTTCATAAACTGACCCTTTTTCAGGAGCAAATGTAAGGGTGCCAGGATGGAGGCCAGGTAACGTATGAATATTCTGTAATTATTCACCAACCCAAGGAAATACCTACGCTCTGGTACAGTGTGAGAGCCAGCTACCTCTGATCATGCTCATTTTATCTTCGAGTGGGTGTAACTCAGTCTTATCGACTCTGTCGTCCAAGTAGGTTACTTGGGGTGGCTGGAACACACATTTTTCTGTCCTAAGGCATACACCTACCTGGGAGAAATGCGAAAGTACTATGTCCAAGTTCACTAAATGCTTTTCCTGGTCATTAGCACATTATCCAGATAAATGGCGAACTGGGGTAGACCTTGTAGAAAGTTTTCCATCGTCCACTGGAAAACGGCACAGGCTGATGATGTCCCAAAAGGCAGTTTGGTGTATTGATGCAAACTCTTATGGGTATTAATTGTAGCATAGGTCTGGGAATCCCCATTTAATTGCAATTGCAGGTACCCATGGCTCATGTCCGGCTTCGTGAAGGACAGCCACACCCCCACACCACCCACACCAACCACCCCCACCCCCCACCCCATCGCCCCGATGGGTTTTGTGTATAAGCCCTCTATGTGAGGGATTGGGTATTTATCCATCTGTGAAAACTGGTTTATTGTTTCTTTGAAATCCCCACAAAAGGCTAAACAACCCATTGGGCTTCATAATTCCTAAAACCAATGCTGCCCATAACGCAAACTATACTGGTTTGGCAATTCCTTTCCTTTCCAGCCTCCTGATTTCTGCCTCTACTTTTGCCCATCAGGCAAATGGCACTGTGTGGGCCTTGCAGAATCATGAAATTGCATCTTGGTCAACATGTCAGGTGGCCTGGCACCTTTGACAGTCCCCAGGCTTCCGTGAAAAACATCCAGGTATTTAATTAGGACTTCACTCAGGCAACCATTTTCTAATCGAAAAATGTACAGCCAATCAAGTTGAATCTTTCTCAACCAATTTCGCCCCGTCAAACTTGGGCCTATGACCTTTCGCACAATCAGTGGTAACTGACCAAGCTGTTTCTCATAGGGACCTACACCAAAGTGGTACCCTTAAACCATAGGGGTTACTCCGTATTGGGTCTCAGCCTGACTGAGGTCTTATGCAAACTTAGGGTTTGGAATCTAGAGCGAATTTTGGTAAAGACCAGTTCTGCCATCACTGATACAGCCACACCAGTATCAACCTCCATTAGAACCGTGTGACCCTTTAACCAGGCATTTATTTGGAGTGGTTGTGATTTGGATATTACTAAGCAATTTACTTGTTCTAAACTAGCTGTACGTGGATTTTCTCGGGTGTGCACACTCCTGGATACTGGCCTTTGAGTTCTCTTACACCATTCATGCTTAGTGGGACTCTTTTGTTGTCTTGAGACCACATTCTGGCAGTAACTTCAATGGCCTGCCAGCCCAGATCCTCGAGAAAATTCTAACCATTTGGCTGAGGCTTGGCTTTGTTTTGGGGTTTTGCTGTGGGCTTACCAAGGCTCCTTCCAATTAGGATATGTCCTAAGTTAGGCTCTGCAATTGCCTTCACTCAAGGCAGTATTCCCCAAGCTGAGTGGGCCTGGCAAGGATGTCTATGTCTATCGGCATACCCTGTAACTCATTAGCTCTACTTTCCACATTTTCTAACAACAAAGCTAAAGGTAGTGCCTGTCTGAAGTCTCATTGGTCTTCAGCTTGTAGGCGCTTTTGCGTGGTCATGTCATTAATCCGACATAACAACTGTCTCTCAGAATCTCACTTAGGTTTAAATCAAAATCACACACCTCTGCCAGTCATCTTAACCTCATAAAAAAAATCCCAATATGAATTCCCTGGTACTCAAACTGTTGAATAGCAACTCAGAATTAGTTGTAGCTTGGGTTGTAATATTCCTTAGCTAAATTTGTAAACTCTTGAAAGATTTTAGTATTTGGTGCTTCTGGGAAAGTTAGGCTCCGAATAACCAATATTGCCATGGGTCCACAACCTGTCAGGAGAATCACTCATTGTTCATCTGTCCCAATGTTATTTGCCCGGAAACAATAACTATATACTGGGATAAGTCTTTGACCACTGAATCGAACAAGTCAAGCTTCCCAAATAGCAGCATGATGCCAGAAATCCTTACACCAATTCAAAGTCAATTGTTGTGAGCGAATCTCTTCAGGGGCGTGTTTCTCAGTCATCAATAAAATAACTAAATGAATGCTGATGTCCCATCACCAAGTCACCTTTATTTACATGTGCCCAGTACATGACACTGAACCAGCCAGCACAGAGCTGGCTCTTAGAATGAGCAGAATCCCTGACACTCCTGTTTATATCTGTAAGCCAGGTCTTCCCTGACAGGACCAGGTTAATAGCCCCAAACAGGAAACTCATATTCTATGAGGTCCAGCTGGCTGACATTGTTCCAATCACTACAAGTGGGGGTTACAAAAAGAGACTAAGGGCAATCTCCATGGATAAGCAGTGTCAGATTTGGAAGCAGAAGTTTCAACACCAGCAGAGAAAACAAAAAAGAAAAATTCAGGTCAAAAAGCAGAACCCAACAAGAAAGCGGAATTACCTGTGGCTAACAAAAGGTGGTCAATGAGCATTGTCCAATTCAAAACTTAAGGTAGACAAAGCAGCAAAGTGTGGAGGTAGGTTAGAGAATTGGACATCTTTCAGGAAGATGCAGATGATGCTTAAAAACAGAAAAAAATTATCACAAAAGTAAGATGTTAAGAAACATAAAAATATACAGAAAGAGCTTCTATGGATATATAAAATGAAAGAGAGCAGCAACGTACAGGAAATGCTCCAGTGACTACAGGATTTTGGATGATTATCAATGCATCTAATGTTTCCAGGGTAACTTCATTCTACTACTCTGGAATATGGATGATCAGGTTCCAGTGGTTTGTCAATCATTAACCCTGTTAATTACCCCAGCACTTGTTCCTTCCTAATGGTGATCCCATTCACATTGGCCCGCTCACTCAACCCTAATATTTGTTCTCTAACATTTATGGGCACTTACTGGAGCCCTCTTTTGTGAAGACAGCAGCAAAATATTTGTTCAAATCTTCTGCCATTTCTTTGTTCCCCAGTATCACTGCACTTGCCCTACATCTACCTTTATAAACTCCTTGTTCTCACATATTTATAGACATTTTTACAGCTAATTTCTATGCTCACTGCAGTTTTCCTCTCCAACACTTTTTTCCACTCGAGATTTATTTTCCTCTTTTTGCTGATTTCTAAAATGTTCCCAATCCTTAGGTTTGCTGTTTTCTTTGCTCTGGCAATTTTACATCTCTGCTATTTGGTTCTCCCTCATCTCTTTTTTAACCCATTGTTGAGCCACTTTTCCCCCTTTTCCATTTGTCAGACAGGAATGAATAATTGTTGTAATTCATGGGTACTATCTTTAAGCATGAATCACATCCTATCCACCATCAACCACTTTAGTATGACTCCACAATCTATCCTTGTCAATTTGTGCCTCTCGTGCTCATAGTTCCCTTCATTTACATCCAGGATCCGAGCTTCTAGTTCAACTACTTGACTCTTCACCTCAATGAAGAATGATGTCATATTATGGTCACTTTTCCCTAAGTGACCTGCACATAACAAGATTGCTAATGCATTGTTTCACATTGCAATATATCCCATATAGAATATCCTGTTGTCAAGTTGATTCTTCAAGGTATTGGTCTGGGCAACTAGGGACGGACAATAAATGCTGGTCATCCCTCAAAGCCTACATTTCACGAATGAATACAAAACAAACAGACACATATACACACATACACATGGAAATACTCCACCACTTTGTCTTATCCAACCTATGTGTAAATTAAACCCATGATTACATTGCACCATTCTTGTTTAAATCTCTGATGCCTTGCTTGATGCCTGAAGACACTTATAGGCAAGCTAATGGAATGTTAGACATTACTGCAAAAAGATTTGGGTACAGCAGTAGTGAAGTCTGGTTTCAAATGTATCAGACTTTAGTTATGTTGCACCTGCAGTCCTGTGTGCAGTTTGGGTCTCCTTATCTCAGGAGATGTTATTTCCATGTAGATTCACTAGTCCTTGGGATGGTGGCAACATCTATGAAGAGATAGTGGACAAACCGGGCTGGTATTATCTCGGGATTCAATGAATGAGCGATGATATTATTGAAAATATTGTCGCACAATGCTTAAAAGGGAAGAGACATGGTAGATACAGGTTTAAGAGTCGCTGGTTGGGGGAGACTAGAACCAGGCAAGGTTTTAAAATAATTGGGACTTAGGTCCAAGATGAGGATTTATGTTATTTTGCTCAGCTTTAGAATTCAGTACCTACAGGGAACTACAGTCACTCCATCTCGGTGTATGTTTAAGGGAGAGACTGATAAATTTCTGATTGCCAATTGTTAATTGGGATATGGGGATGGAGTGCGTAAAACACATTGAAGTGTTTGATCAGGCATGATCATATTCAATGGGACGGCAGGTTCAAGTGGCTGAAAGGCCCACTCCAGTTCCCAAGTCCCTCTGTTGCAAAATGAACACTTTCTGTTTCTTTTCTCTCTCAGGAATATACTCAAGTACTTCACTTCCCAAATTATGAATCTCTGTTCAGAAGTGTGCAATTTATAGACTTGCTGGCACAAAGGCTTGTTCTCTGACTTAACGCAATGGCCACGAAAATACAGTGTAAAAGATTAGACCCCAGCTGTGTTTTGTCTCAGGGAGGACTGAAGATCAGCAACAGCTGAGTCAAGCCTCATCAAAGCAAGTATGTCAGTAAAGTTTTCTGACAAATACGTGCATATAAATGACAGCTTCAACACTGGCTCAGACAAGCAGCATTAGCAACTTTTTCATTTCTTGTAAACTCCGAGTGTGTTGGATACAAAATAAAAACCATAAGAACTGAGGATGCTTTCAATCAGAAATAAAACCAGAAATTGCAGGAAAACTCAGCAGCATCGGTGAAGAGAAATCAGAGTAATGTTTGGGGTCCTGTGACCCTTTCTGAAAACTGATGGTAGCTAAGAAATTCTTGTTTTTTTATGTAGAAGGAAGGGTGGGAGTAAGGAGTAAACAATAGGTGGGGACAGAATGCAAAGAGAGAGAAGAACAGTTAGACAGACAAAGGAGTGGACAATGATCTGGTTCAGAGGGTGAATAGTTGTTAACTGAGACTGTTAGTGGCATTGGAACTTAACCCTTCTGTTGAGAAAAAATGCACTAATTAGATAACAACAGAATACAACAACTCTATTGAAATACTAGTCAAGTAATGTACTGAAATGCTACACCATCTGACATTGCTACCAATGAATTTGTGTCTGAATTCAGATATATAATAAATCATTTGATGGGTTACTTACTGTTTTGATGGAACGGGAGAATCCAGCCTGTGGTTTCGCATAACAACCCGTGTCAAGAAACAATCCTGAAGCTAACAGCCTCTTCAAGTGCCTCGCTCTGCAGAGTATGTGAAACACACTGACAAACTCTGCGAAAACCTTCTTTATTTTGACACTTCCCTTTTCTGATTTTTTAAAGAACCTTTGAAAGACTCACACTGCAGCTCATGGAATTTTTTTTTTCCCACAAGATGCATGAAAGCAGTGTTGCAATTGCCTGCTTCAATGGAAATAAGAGAATACATGCACTGAAATAAAACCATATTGGTATATCAGGTAGGTGGGATTCAGTGTTTCTTGGAATTCACATCTCAGTCCGCAGTGTACAACAGGCAGAACAGTGTCTGGATTTTTTTTTTCTCCCACAAGTGTGAGGACAACATGTTACATTCCACACATGTCACCCCTGACACTGGTAATGTCTCACTGGAGACAAAATTTGAATTATACATTTGTACACATGACAATAAAGCTAAAGTACAGGAGTACAGTGAAATGTGTACAATGTCACCCCACACAGCACCATCTTAGGTACAAAGTATCTAAGTATGAATCATAGGTACTAAAAAAGGTACAAAAATAGAGAAATGAAGAGAAAAGCTAAAAGTTCTACACTACAGTCCTTCGTCGTATAAGTTAGGAAAATCTTGATATTAATGGAATACCCATGATTAAATGATGGCCTTGTCGTGATTGTCTCTTGCCTTCAGCTGTTCGGAGGAAAGAAAAGATTAAAATGCACTGACACAGGCTCCAAGCTTTGAGCTTGTGTTTACTGTGGAGAGATAAAGACATGAGCTTTGTTTGACAATGAGAATCAGCACACATGTAGTACTATCATATCATTGCATGGAAATATTCCTTACGGCCCCAGTCACTTTTGTGAAAGTCAACACGCTCAATAGGGGAGTTATTTCCTTCAATCCTGCATCTTGGATCATGTTTCTTTTTTCTCTCTCTCATTCAATCAATAATCTGTGTCAAGTACCTGCTAGCAGATGATATTTAAGGTCTGGATAGCTTTTGATAGCAAAAACAGAAGGGCAGTTTGGCAGGAAAAATAGGAAAGGGGATTATTATCTGAATGGCTATGAACTGAGAGAGGGGAATGTCAAACCAGACTTGGGTGTCCCTTGTAAGCAAGTTACTGGAAGTGTGCATTGCAGATGCAGGTGGGGGTGGTTGGGAGTCTGATGGTGACAATGTTCAGGGAGCCTTACTTTCAGTTTAAAAGAGTAGAGGTAGCTTGACTTTCAGTTTATAGAAACAGAGGAAACTTTCTCTAACCCTGTGCTGTATTTGTCCTGTGAGTATTTGATAGGCCAGTGTAGAAGGAGTTTATTTTCCATTTGCTTTTATATTAAAAGAATAGAGAAGTCTTTATTCTGTATCTGACACC